TTCAATAATCACTTATTGTGCTCCCCAACATTTAACGAGGCAAAGTTTTTGGGCTCAGCAGAGGCGCATCGACTTGTTCCACAAATGAAGCGAATGATGTATAACATCACAACCTTGATGGACTGTGTAACCTGTGAGAAATGCCGTGTGTGGGGAAAACTTCAAACTATGGGCATTGCCACAGCACTCAGGATTGTTATGCTTCCTGAAGACACAGTAACCGGCCTCAGTCGTGGGGAGAAGGTCTCACTTGTCAATCTTGCCCGTCAGCTTGCGATTTCAGTTGAGAGCGTGCACGTACTGGAGGATGCCTGTCAAATAATGGAAACTGTGCAAAATTAGTTGGCAAACATTAGTGTTTATAGTTGCGTGTGTGTTTTTTTTAACTTTTGGCTTCGTTTGCCAAAGAATAGGAAAAAAGAAAGACAACACATCTTGGATTTCTAGAACTCGGGCAAGAAACGCCGTCTTGTAGGTAAGTACATGGTTCTGCTAGCACATTAGTAAGAGGTAGTGGGGAAGTGTAGCTTTAGCGTTGAGAAGACATTTCCGTTAACGCTTCTGTGTGTTTTTGCAAGACCTGCACGATGTTGTCTTCTTCCCCTACTGCCTGTGTTTTTCTTCTGCTCGCGTACTGGTCTGCTCTCTTCCATTTTCGTGCCTCTTCTACCTCTACCTAACCATCTAACTATCTCTCCCTTCTTCTTCTTTACCTGTGTGTGGTTTTCTTCAGTTGTTTGCTCAGGCCCTTTTGGCGATAAATGGAGCAGTGGGAAAGTTGTCGCACGAAGGAGCAGAAAAGAGAGGCACCGATAATGGCCTCTCTTTTTCTGAGACGGAGGAAGAACAGTGGCAAAGGTTGAAGGAGGAAGCAATGATCGACTCTGGCGGCGATGACGACAACCTCATCGACGGTGGAACCTTGGCCTTACCACAGGAGCCAAGAAAGCGGAAAACCAAGAAGAGTATGAAGTCAACAGGCACCTTAAAACCTGCCCAGACACAACAACATAAGCTGACCCAATCTATTAGTGCACCTGACATGGAAAACCTTTTGAAAAAGTATCGCGGTCTTGCCGCTGATGAGGAGGATGGGGTTGGAATAGATGTCGCCAAGTTCTTACAAGAAGACGCCTTGGAGAGCGAAGACGAAGAAGACAGTGTAACCGCAGATGATCTGATGACCTCGTTATTGGCAGCAAAGAACACAGTTCCCCAGAAGGCAGTGGAGAGGACGCCAGATGCCCCGTTGGTGAGCCTCAACGATGAGATCTATGCGTACGACAAAAAACCGGAGTCTCGGAAGGTTGCCGTCAACAAAAAACATCACGAGCACCGGGATGAAGCCAATTATCTTGTTAACGATACATTTTCAAAAGATCTAAAGGTTGTGACTGAACTACCAACGACGACGCCAAGTACGGTGAAGCAGACTTCTGACACGCCGACTGAGGAATGCACATCCAGTGGGCTGTTTTATTGGTTTGATGCTAAAGAGCAGCCCCACACCTCATCGGAACCTGGCACCGTATTTCTCTTTGGAAAAATTTCCGAAACAAAGGGCGCAGAGGTTAAATTTCGTTCTTGTTGCGTCAGGGTCAAGAATGTTTGCCGGTGCACGCTTTTGCTTCCCAGGGAGGGTTCATCTGACGCGGATGTTATACAAGAGATAAATAGCGTGTGTCAATCCCATGGTATAGGAGAGCGCCGGGTACGGTTTGTGGAGCGCTACTATAGCTTTGATGAACCTGGTATTCGGCGCGAGAAGAATCGGTGGGCAAAACTCCGTTTTCCGGGTAAATATCCATGCTTTCCCGCGAAGGGGGAATTTAAGCACATTCAAGCTGTGATGGGTGCCTCCCGTTCCTTACTTGAGCTTTTCCTGATCAAGAAAAAACTCATGGGGCCCTTATACCTTCGTATGGATGATTTTGCACTTGCAACAGACCGTGTATCTCATTGTGAAGTGGAATACGTAGTGAATTCTCCAAAGAATATTAAGGTTGATGATGCGCCGAGACCCTCGCCGCCCTTTACACTTGCCAGTATCCAACTGCATACCCAGTTGGATGCCAAAGGTGTAACGAATGAAGTGGTCGCCGTGTCGATTGCTATCTATCGTAATGTTAACATTGATGGCGGCATGAAAGCAGAGGTCTCAGAATGCTTTACAGGCGTTCGACAGATTTCCTCCGATGCAGCTTTACCGCTAAGCTTGGAAGCCTATTGTCAGTCAAAAGGCTTACCTGGAGTACGCTCTTTTGGAAATGAAAGAGCTCTACTCACATGGATAGCCTCAACGCTAGGGAATTTGGACCCTGACATCGTCGTTGGGCATAATTTTATTGGATACACCATTGAAATCCTTTTGAATCGCTACCACGAACTGAATATACCTCAATGGTCTACAATTGGGCGTCTTGATATAAAACGCTTTCCGCGTTCACAGCATGGAAACGCTAATCTGGCAAACGAAAAGGAGGCATGTATAGGACGTCTTGTTGTTGACACATATCTTCTTTCTAGAGAGTACTACAAGAGTACAAACTACAAGCTGGCGTCGCTAACGACGCAAATGGGCATTTCAGGGATTACAGATGGTCGTGGTTCTTTTGAGCCTGGAGCAACGGTCCTGGAAAAGGGTAGCATGACATCCTCCAAAGACTTGTTTTACGTTCTTTTGCAGCTTCTTAATTACGCGGTACTTTCTCTGAGGGTGGTCGCCTTTCTTGATGTGATTCCACTTACCAAGCGGCTAACAACATTGGCAGGCAATTTATGGAGCCGAACTTTGTATGGGGCGCGTTCAGAGCGAATTGAGTATCTTCTTTTGCATGCATTTCACGATCTTAAGTTCGTGACACCGGACAAGAAGCGATTTGATGGAAAGCGCGGACGACACGACGTGGATGATGAAACTAAGCGCAAAACTAAATACCAAGGTGGTATGGTGTTGGAACCCAAGACTGGACTCTACTCTGACTATATTCTGCTTCTGGACTTTAATTCGCTTTATCCGTCCCTCATTCAGGAGTTTAATATCTGCTACACCACAATTGACCGGGATGAGAACACGGTGTCTGCCGAGATTCCTCCGCCGGAGAGTCTTATTTGTTCTTCTTGCGCGGCTGCGGGGTTGCCGTCCCCGTGCTCGCACAAGTGTGTCTTACCAAAAGTCATTCGGGGCCTGGTGGAAAGCAGACGAGAAATTAAGCGTTTGATGAAGACCGAAAAGGATCCAAGCAACCTTGCGACGTTGGAGATTCGTCAGAAGGCTCTGAAGTTGACGGCGAACAGTATGTATGGCTGTCTGGGTTTTGAACACTCCCGCTTCTACGCTCAGCCGCTTGCCGAACTTGTTACGCGACAGGGCCGTATTGCGCTACAGAACACCGTTGAGTTGATTCCACAAATCTCACCGTCGTTACGTGTTATTTACGGTGACACGGACTCAGTCATGATTCAAACCGGTATAAAAGACAACATCAGGAATGTGCGGGAGCTGGGTTTTGAGATCAAGAATAAGGTTAATCAGCGCTACCAAAGTTTGGAGTTGGACATTGACGGGGTTTTTAGAGCCATGCTTCTGCTTAAAAAGAAGAAGTATGCGGCATTAAGCGTTGTGGACTGGCAAGGGGAAGGCACAACCTACAAGAAGGAGATAAAGGGTTTGGATATGGTCCGCAGGGATTGGTGTCCGCTTTCTCAGAAGGTCTCGGAGGCGGTGCTGAGCCGCGTTTTGAACGCCGAGGCGGGCGAAGACATACTGGACTACGTCATGACCCACATGAAAACGGTTGCCGATGATGTGCGGGCGGGTAATCGTTACCCCCTTGAAGACTTTGTCATTTCAAAGAGTTTAACAAAGGAGCCTGAGACCTACCGTGGCACGGCGTTTCCCCACGCCTCGGTGGCGCTGCGCATGAAGCAGCGCAAGGAAAACGTCCGCGTCGGCGACCTCATCCCCTACGTCATTTGCGAAGGTGAGCACCTCAATGACAAGGCGTACCACGTGGATGAGGTGCGGCGAAGCAAGGGCCTCCGCATTGACCTGGAGTGGTATCTGGCCTCGCAGCTGTACCCTCCTGTGATGCGCTTGTGTGAGCACATCCAAGGATTTTCGCCGGAGCAGTTATGTGAGGCCATGGGAGTTGCCTGCCACGTGCGAACAGAGCGGGAAATTCAGGAGACGTTCACCGTGGACGACTTTTCACATTGCTCCCTATTTAAGAGTAGAGAGCTCTCCGAGTGCTTCCCCACCGCCGTGCCCCTTCAGGTGCAATGCACGCGCTGCCACCAGGTTGTTCCCATCGATCCGCACAAGTACATAAGTGACATGGTTCAGGACCCCAAGCGGCCTCTTCCTAGTGTACCCTTTGAGCTGTACGCGTGCGTGAACTGCGGCCAACCCCTCTCCCTCGCATACCTGGCAAATTGTCTGACGCAGATGTGCCACAACATAATTCAGCAGTTTTACATCTCCGGCGGGAATGCCGCGGCGGTGCGAGCTGTGCGAACACAGTTCACCTATTTTCGAGCCCTGTTTGACGTCCCACACGCCCCTGGATGCTCTCCAGTCATTAAAGACGTTCACCGCAACCTTGCGCTGCGTTGCCTTGGCACGGACCAAAAACTGTACACACTCTCTGGCGCGGCCTCTGCCTTGGATGTGGAGCCGGTGGATCACTTGTTCTTCTGCGCCGATAGTTTTTACAAGAGAATAGACCATTTGTTTGTAAGCATTGACAATTTATTCGCCTCCATGTGAGCGGAGCCACCACGCAGAACGTCAATGAGACTTGCATAGAATAGCCATAGAGAGAGAGAGGGAGCGGTATAGATGCGTGCGTGTGCGTGTGTGTGTGTGTGTGTCCTCACTGCCGCCGCACAAGGGGTGGCATCGAGGGCGATGGGGGGTTCCCTGCCCTTCATATTCTTTGTTTACTGCCTCCCCCGTCATCCTTTCGTGTTGAGCGCTAATAGCATTGAGGAGGGGAAGAAGAAACGAAAAAAGAAAAAAAAAGCGGATCTCTCCCTCCCTCTCTGGGGAGGGGGGAGGGACTTTATTCCTTTCCGCGGTGTTGGCGCCCTTGCTGGGCCCCGTAGGCACACCTCGTGCCCTGCCCGCAACGACCGCAGCTGCCCGCCGGACGCATCGCCCTTGCGCTTCTGCTCCCTCTTCTTACGGCTGTGCGGCGCTCAGTGCCTTTGCAACGAAGGTAGAAAGAAGGCGGGAAGGAGCAGCCCCAGAGGCGAAGGGGAAGAGGACACGAAAAAAAAAAAACAGCCACCGGCGGGAAGCGGAGACTAGACAAGGAGGAGGGAAGTATTTATTTGTATCTGTATATAATACATTTGCCCGCAGCAAGCAGGGAAGGAAGTAGAGGATGCCGCCCCAGCAGGCCCCGCCGCGCATGATAAGCCGCCGCCACGTCTTTGGCGTGTGCGAAAATGTGAAGGACGGCTTTCAATACCTCGATGACACCAATGTCGTCTGGGTGTCTGGAAAGAGTCTCGTCATCCTGGACACGCAGCTTGGCACACAGCAGTTAATTCCATGCACCCCTGGCTGCAACTTCGTCACCGCCCTGGCGATGTCGTACAATCGCCGGCTATTGGCCGTGGCGGAGAGCTCCAAGTTTCCCTGCATTGTTATCTACGTCTGTGATCCGAGTGGAACTCCAAAGCTAAAGCGGAAGAAGCTTTTGCAAGTGCCCGATCTTGGCTCAACCGAGTACGTCTCACTCAGCTTCTCCTTGGATGGGCGGTATCTCATTTCGCTTGGTGGCCAGCCCGAGTGGAACGCCGTGTACTGGAACGTTGAGCGGGCAAAGGTCATGGCCTCCTGCGCCGTGCTTGACGAAAGCGAGCTCTCCTCCAAGGACAGGCGTTTGCTTAACCAGTGCAGTATTTGCCCCAATGACTCCTCGCTGGTGTGTGTGTCGGGTCACGGCATTGTGCGGTTTTTGCAGCTGCGGGAGAACCACCTGCGTCCTGCCTCGGGTGGGCTGCGGGAGCCCGTCACCAAGTACCTGGCCCACATCTGGATTCCGTCGGAGAACCGGCTTATCCTCTCCACCGAGAACGGCGACCTCATCCTCATGGAGAACAACGAGTACAAGTACCCGCTCCCACTTTCCCCGTCCGATGGGATTGCCATCACCGCCCTCGTGGCGTACAGCAAGGGATTTATCTGCGGCGGTGACCTGGGGCTGATTTGCATCTTTGAACGGACCGACAGCAAGGAGATGTACCGCAAGGTGCGGACCTTTAAGTTTAACAACGACGCAGAAAACATGGGACCTCCGTCTGAAGTTGTTCCGGCGATTCACACCCTCACCCTCTCGCCCCAGCCTGCGGAGGAGTATGTCTCCTTCATGACAAGCACAAAACAGTTGTACTCCCTCAACCTCCCCAATGCCGACTTCTTCAAGTCGGAGGAGCGGGTGTTTGAGCCCATTGGACAGCCCTTCCATTCTGGGCCTGTGGTTGGCGTGGATGTCTGCGTGCAGCGGCCGCATGCGGTGACCGCTGGCCGGGATCGCTGCATCTTCCTGTGGAACCTCATCACTGGGGTTGTCGAGTTCCGCAAGCGGTTTTCCACCGACATTTACAGTATTGCCATGCATCCATCGGGGCTGCATCTCTTGGTGGGGCTCGCCGATGGGCTTCGCATGATGAATTTGTACCACAACGACGTTAGGGAGTTTAAAAACGTCGGCATTCGCTCCTGCATGGAGTGCCGCTTCAGCACCGGTGGTCAATTCTTCGCGGCGGCACATGCAACCACCATTCATGTATACTACACCTACACCTGCGAGCTGCTGGGGCACCTGCGTGGGCACAGTGGAAAGGTGAAGAGCATCTACTTTGTGCCCCCCGACGATACAAAGTTGGTCTCCGTGGGCCTCGACGGCGCCGTCTACGAGTTCAACCTTTGCGACTTTCACAAGCTCCACGACAACGTGCTCAAGGCCATGACGTACAACTGCGCTGTGGCAGACATAAGCACGGTGTGGACCGCCGGCAATGACCGCAAGCTTCGCCAGTTTGATCGTGCCAAGCTGCAGCCTACTGCCGAGTACGATCTGCAAAACGCCTCGCTGTACTCTATGGTCATCAGCTCCAAATTAAAATTACTCGTCGGCGGCGCCGAGGATGGCACTGTTCGCGTGTTTAATACCTACCTCGGCGAGAAGCTCTCTGGCGCGGACCGCGAGCGGGAGAATGGGGGCGACATCATGATTGAGTCCCACAGCGCCCACTCCGGCATCGTCACGCGTCTCGCGCTGACGTTTGACGAGTCGATGGTGGTCAGCGTCGGCGACGACGGCGCCGTGGTCTTCTGGGACGTCGTCGCCCCATATCGTGGGCCGCAGAAGGAGGTGGAGTACTCCCGCGAGCTGTTCATGGCTCGGGCCGACCTGGAGGCCACCACAAAGGCGGTCGCCGCGCTGGACGCCGAGGTGGGTGAGCTGAAGCAGCGGATGCTGCAGCAACAGATTAAGCGCGACCGGGTGCACGAGGAGCAGCTGGCGAAGCTGGATCGGGAGTGCGCCGACGAGCAGGCGCGTCGCCTCGCCCAGTACGAGGCGCTGAAGGAGGAGAAAAACGAGCAGGCCATCCAATTCACCGAGTTCATGGCGGAGATGGAGGCGAAGGAGAAGGAGGCACTGCGGCGCACCAAGGAGGACTACGGCGTCAAGATTGAGTCCCTGCGCGAACGCGCCGACCGACTGCGACAGCTCATTGACGAGCGTCAAAAGGAGCAGGACGCCCACCTCGCCGAGGTGCACGACATTGCCGCGCGGAAACGGGTGCAGGACAAGGAGCGGCAGCAGTTGGTCTTGCAGGAGATAGACGACGAGCATCGTCGACTGCTGATGGAGAGGGAGGAGGACGAACGGCGCACCGACGGCTACTGCGCCTTGATTGAGGATGACACGGATGTGGAGGTGACCCTGCTGAAGGAGGACGTTGAGAAGCGTCGCAAGGAGCAGGAGGAGGAGGTGGCCGCGCTGCAGGCGAACAACGACGCCCTGCTGTCGCGGGAGAACATCATAAAGGCTGACCTGGAGGCGATCAAGGCGGATGTGCGGGAGAAGCTCCGGCAGCAGACGACGTTGGAGTCGCAGATAGAGGCGGCAAAGCGCGACATTGGGGCCCTCACGCAGGAGTTTAAGGACCGCGGGGAGACGATCGCCGAGAAGGAGCGCCGGGTGCTGGATCTCAAGAAGAAGAACCAGGAGCTGGAGAAGTTCAAGTTTGTGCTGGAGTACAAAATCAGGGAGCTCAAGTCGCAGATCGACCCCCGCGACGAGGAGATTCGGCAGGCGAAGAGCCGTCTGGCGGAGATGGGCAAGGAGGCGGACAACTACACACACAGCAACGAACACCTCGTGCTGCAGATCCGCAACCTGCGGCAGAAGAAGGCGGGACAGCAGCGGGAGCTGGACATGCTTGCGGGGAGCATGCGCGGGTTTTCGGAGTATCTCTCGCGGCTCTGGACGGAGCTGTGCGACCTGCGGGATGAGACGAACCCGCGCAAGCTGAAGGAGACGGCCAATATGCTCTTTGACAAGTACACCTCCAACAAGGCGATCGCCGCGAGCAAGGTGCTCGCCTCCCGCACAGCCGCGGACGAGGTGCGAGAGTACAACCGCGAGCGCGACCACCTCGAGCGCAACCTCGCGGGGCTGAAGAACAAGGTGAACAAGGACGCGGAGAACAACCGCGCCGACAAGAGCCGCATCGCCACTGAGAACGTCATCCTCATCAAGGAGATCAACGACCTGCGGAAGGAGGCACGACTGCTGGCCGGAAAGGCGGGGGCCTGGCGCCAGGCGGAAACTGCGGGCCTCTCCGCGCACGAAGAGGATACAGCGCGTGAGCTTGCAATGCAGCGGGCAGAACTGCAGCGTCTTCGCCTCTTGGCGGCCAAGCTGAACGATGAGGCGCGCGCAAAAGGCATTACGTTGAAACCCCCTTGCTTGGAGGAAAAGAAGCAGGAGAATTGACTTGGCATTGGCGTCTTTCACCCCATCTCGCTCCAGATTTCTCCCTCTCTAGCGGTGTGTGTGCGTGTGTACGCAATGTGCAATGTGCGTGGGCGGCGTGCTTCTGCAGTTTCTCTCTTGGTGTGGAGACCTGCATGTCTGTCGGTGCGTGGCTTTTGTTTCGCCTTGTCGTGGGCTGTTGTCCATTTCTGGTCGTCCGCCGCCTCAGTCGCAGTCTCTCTCTCTCTCTCCCTCCCTCTGTGGCGTCTTTGGTGTGCAATGTAAACAATTTTTTTTTCGCTTCCTTATTCACACGCACACTCGCTACGCCAAGCCGAGGTAGACAATTTTATGTTGCGGCTGCAAGTGTCGGCCACTGCGGCCTGTGCCTGTGTGTATGCCCGCCTGTGTGGAGGGAGGGAAGGCGCGAAGGAACGCACGAGAGGGCCGTATAGAAATGATACTCACACACATGTATGCGTCACTTTCTCTTAGCCCTTTCTTCCAGTTGTGGGCGCGTGCCTCCGCGCGGCTGCGTCTCTCTCTCTCTCTCTCTATCTGTCGCTGCGGCTGTGACTCCCTCAGAGGCTGCGTTTTGAACTGGCGTTTATTTCTTGTATCATCTTAATTACATTTTCCTCTCTCTCTCCACGCACACACACACACGCACTCTTTTACAAGCTCGCCACTGCTGCCTCCCCTCGCTGGTTGCGGTTTTCTTTTTTTTTTTCGTTGGCGATGCTTTCGCGCTCCGGCCTCCGCTGCTGCTTCGCCGCGATGGCGGTGGATGCCGCGCGTCGCTACGCGGCGGCGCACCGCGAGGCGGGCGACACCCACGCCGCCGAGACGGCGCTGTGGTTCGACGACACCGCGGCCGAGCGGCGGGCGCTGGAGGAGCACGTCCGCAGCCCCGCGTACAGGGAGTTGCACCGCCCGGCCCTCACCAACGCGGCCATGGGGCTCTACGGCGGCGAGCCCGGCTTCGAGAAGGCGCACCGCGTGTGGGTCGACCCGGACCGGCCCCACATGAAACACCTCTACAACCAGACGGCGCTCGCGAAGAACCTCCGCTACGCCCGCTACGGTTACTTCAAGCGTGACATGCACATCCTGGACATCGACAAACTCGTCCGCCACGCCCGGATGCTGCCAACGCCGGGGCGGCTGCTGACGGACTTTTTGTATCAGCGGGTGCCGCTGCCGGATAAGAGCTGCGCCGCGCTTCTCCGCTTCCAGCGTGAGCAGATTGAGATGCTGGAGCAGTGGGACCGACACAGCAGTTTCCAGGGTGCCGCGGAGATGTTTGAGCGCCTGATTGTGACAAATATCCCCCCTGTAGAGGTGGGCGTTGAGACACATGCCGAGATGGTGCTGTGTGCCGCGGCAAGCGGTAAGTGGGAGGAGGGGTGGGACGTCTATGCGGCCCGGGCGCGTGAGCTGGAGGCGGACTCCCCCGACTCCTTTGTCCTTAGCACCTACTTCTTTGATGCCGTCTTGACGCTCTGTGTGGCGGCCGCCCACGTGGAGGAGGGAATGTCGATCATGGAGGAAGTCATCGCACGGAACTTGCGCCCGCGCGCCACCATGCTTGACAAGGCCATGCTGTTGTGTGCTATGGGGGCTGAGAAGGCAGCGAAGCGGGAGGAAGCGGACGACGGCGCGCAGCAGCCGCTACAGCAGGAGCAGCGGAAGAAGTTAGAGCAATGCGGCCTTGAGCTGTGGGCGCTCTATGACTTTTACCAGCTTCCCCGAACCACGGCGTCTGTTGAGGCCTACATGCGTATGTGTTGCGCCTTTGCGCAGCCGACCCTCGTGCTGAAGGCGCAGAGCTTCGCCGACGCGGCTGGCATCCGTCTCTCCTTGGAGTGTTTTCATTGGTTGGTGTACGCCCTTCGCGGGGTCGCGGACTTTGGCGATTACGTCATGGATGTCTTTTCACAGCTCACCCCGCGCGGCCTGACACCGGATTTCGTGCTCTTTACTTTAGCCTTTATGCACTGCGCGCTGCAGCGGGACGGCGAGCTGGCGCTTGCCATTTATGACCAGCACTTTATTCACGCAAACATCAACCCCACCCCGGAGATGACGCTTCTTTTTATTCAGTCGTGTGCTCACTGCGAGGAGCCGCGTGTGGCGATGCTGGAGCGTTGTGAGGCGATGCTGCGCCGTCTCGAGGAGGTGGGAAGCGGCGTCGACTATGTCGCCCTGATGTATGATCAGTTTCTCGAGCTCTGCGGCCAGCTGGGGGCCGTGGCATCAGGCTTTAGTATGCTGAAAAAACTAGTGGGACTGGGCAAGCCGCTCACCACGCGCATGCTTAACTCGCTCTTGCTGGCCAACGCGTACGCCGCCGCGCCAAATGGGTCACTGGCCATGACGGAGGAACTCGTGCAACTCTTCACGCTCCTCAGGGTGCCGCCTAACAAAGACACCCAAATTTGTCTCGGGTACTGCACCGAAGCCTTTGGGACGTCGTCGTCTCTGGACGCCTTTGGCGCCACAGTGGCCGCTAACATTGCTGCTCTCGATGACGCGCTGGCCTACGATGCAGATATTCCCGTGTCACAAGCCCCACCAAACGAACTTCGTCAGCTGCGCACGGAGTGGAAGCTGCGACCTCGCGACATTGTGCTGCGCCGCTTTGGGCAGTACACAAGATTCAGGGGGAAGGAGGCCTTGGATGTGGGCAGCATGCATGGCAGCGTCATTCCGTTTGGCCGTGCACCGGGGGAGCAGCAAGTCTAAACGGATCGGTCTTCCCCAAGGCATCTGCGTCCACCTTCTTGCTTCTTGCGTTGCAAGTGCGAGCCCGATTTCCTCGTTGCCCGAGAGGGGGAGACTTGGAAGTGGGGAAGGGGAACAAAAACAGCCAGGAAAGAGGGGGATGAATAAGAAGGCGGAAGGTGAAGCCGGCGGAAGCTTTATGGTTTCGTGTTGTTGCTATTCCCGCTTTGCGCCGTCACCACTACTCCTGCTCCCGTGGGCTGCAATGTGAGCGTGTTTTTTTTTCCTTTTTTTTTTTTCTCGTTTGCGCTTCCCCTCCTCCCACCCGCACTGACTGCGCTGCTCCGCCCCTCCCCTCCCCCCGCACGCCAGAGGTGGTGGGGGGCCTGACTGGGGGTGGGGGACGAATTGAATGCTGCAGTGGGAGTGGCCCAAGACGTGGCCGACGGCGAGCAAAGAGGTGATTCGCGTTTCCATCGAGCGGGCCATCCGCAAGGCGATGTCGGGGGGCACCAACGCGCAGATTCGCGGCACCGTCATCGTGGACGAGTTAAACCTGGGGAGCGTGGCGCCGGAGATCGCGCTGAGCGGGATCCGCAAGCTCTCCGCGGAGCACACGGCCATTATGGTGAAGGTCCGCTACCGCGGCGACTTCTCGGTGCGGCTGCGCGGGCTAGAAATCAACCTCGACACGGTCGGGGCGGGCGCGGAGGAGTCCGACGCAAACTTTGCCCTCCCTTTTTTTTGTCCCTTTGAAATGACGCTGCAGGACATCCACATCGACGGCATGGTCTCCATTGAACTCTTTCAAGAACTCGAAGGGAACCCGCAGTGGGAGCAGGCCTCCTCGCTGACGCCCCACGCGGAGGTGACGCCGAGGGCTGTGAAGAATAAGGCGCTGCTCCCGTCGCGCTCCACGCGTTTGCCCCGCAGCAGTGGCCGCCTCGGCTACGGCGTTCTTCTGGCGGGGGGTGGCCGTCGTGGGATGCGGCCGCCTGGGGTGCTTGACGCGCAAGACGCCTCCACCTCTTCCCTGGAGGTCGATGGCGCCGCTGATGGGGTTTTAAGGTCCTCCTCGCAGGTGCACCGCGGCGTTCCGTCCTTTGCGGACATTTTGGCAAAGAAGGTGATGGTGCGGCGACGCATGATGAAGGTGCAGCTGTTTGGTGACCCACTCAAGAATTTCCGTGTGATGTCCAACTTTAGCACGGTACCCGGGGCGAACAGCAAGGTGGATGGCACAGTTCGCATGCTTATCAAGCCTGCCATCGAGGCACTCATGGAGGAGGGTATATTCTTTGCAATCTAGTCGCTGGGGAGGGGGGCGCGTGCATGCGCCCCCAGCCTAGCTGTATAACATGCATCTATGGGGAAGGTGAGATGGAGTTCCGTGGTTGCTTGCCGTCTTTCTGTTGTCACCGACGTTTATTTTCCCCTTCGCCTCTTCTTGTGTGTTGTGTAGCTGCTTCACTGTTTTTCTGTCTCTGTTTTCCTTCCCCCTCACTCCCTTTTGATCAGGCTTGGAGCGGCGCGTTGTCCGTTATGCTGCTCTTTCTGTCTTTCGGCTCCTGCAGGGCAGGGTTGCCATCGCAGTCGGACTGGGGGCGAAATGCGAGAGAATGTGTGCGCGTGTGTGTGTCTGAGAGAGAGAGAGAGAGAGCGAAAGCGGGAGCGATGGATTTCTACGGCGGTTAAACTCACCCCGCTTGCCTGCTGAGCGGATCCCCATGTGAAGGCGTTGCGGCAGCGCGTAGAGCCCTGAGACTGTGGGAGCAGAAAGGAAAAAAAGAAACGGTGGGGAGAGAAGGAAGGGAAGGGTCGGTCGTTTACCCGCCCCCCAGCCTTCTTTTTTTTTTTTTTGCTTCCACCCATCCGTCGTTTGCGGCTCACTGTGTGTGGGGGGAGGGGGCACATGTCAATGCAGCTGCGCGGCCGAATCCTGGCAAACTTCACCAGCTCCTTGGCGAGTGGGGGGAGGAGGCGGCACGCACTCCTTCGTCTTCCGTCTGCCTCTCTCTTACTTTTCCCTCTCTCTCTC